GTATCTCATTAAAGCAATAATCTCACGTACGTACGTACGTATCAGTATGTACGTACGTATGTACAGTACGTACGTACGTACAGTACGTACGTACGTACAGTACGTACGTACGTACAGTACGTACGTACGTACGTACGTACGTAGTGTAGTTAGGTCGCCAATTTTTAAATTATCGTTATTAGATTCTCGAATTGTATATACAGGATTTTGATATCCACATGGGTTAATTTTCTTGTTATTAGCGCTAGATCTAGGGAAAAGGTTGTACCACTAATACGACAATTAGTACAGTAGTAACGGTCCTTTATCTCTGTACTACAACTAAAAATACTGTTTCTTACTAGACAACAAATACTCTGAAACATTTTAAACGTATAGTATTAGCAGAAAAGGAGATACTATATATGGTTTCTTGATACAATACAGTTTATTCTTGTTACTTACTAATTTCTTTTATTCTTTGATATTCCTTGAAACGGAATTTACTTTTACAAAGTTGGAACGTCTTTGAAAAAAAGATTGTGAAAGTGATGATATTATAATACGTAGTCAGATTAATACGTACATGGTTAACGCTAAAAAAAAATTTTTAAAAGAGTAAATAAATGGGTAAATGAATGATTAACTAGTAAATAAATGAGTGGATGAATGAGTGAACGAATTAATAAGCCCCTATTTTTATATGATCTCAATCTGAAAATTTTTAAACAATAAAATGTCTAACGTTAATTAATATATATCAATATCTTTTAGATTTTTGATACGTACGTACAGCACATATTCAACTTTCTACTTTAAAGTTTATGTGCCCCTTGGACTGCGCCTGTTTGCCGAACGTGCTTGACATGCAAGGGTCTAACCGATTTCTTTATATGCGTCAGACCAGTTCTAGACTTCAATCCACCTATATACGTACGTACTATCGCTATTATCAGTACGTACATAACGCACGTACGTACGTATTTACGTATTTACTTTACGTACGTACGTATTTACTTTACGTACGTATTTACTTTACGTACATACGTACATACGTACGTACGTACGTATCGTCGGGAAAGTATCGGTATGCTGTATTTTCACATGCACAGCCGTAATGCAGTGTTGTACCTATGCATAACAATAAATTGACATTCTTAGAAACGATCTCCATGACCGGTAGTTTTCAATATAACGTCTTTTTTTTTTTGTAATTTGCACTTTTTTTTTTTTTTTGTTTTATCCAGTTAACAATGTCGCAGTCAGATATAACTCGATTTTTTGAATCTTTTAACGATCCAAATGCTGAAATCCAACATCAACCTACTGTTAGTGGTGATACTGTGATCAATACTGATTCACAAACAAAAAAATCTCCTTTATGCAAAGCAAAAGATCAAAACTCGAATGCCGGTGGCCCGATTCGTAACACTCGGAAAAAAGATCAAATTTCACCAATCACTCAACGTATTAGAAAAGCTGCTACTTTTCAAGACTCTTGGAAATCAAAGTTCCCTTGGTTAAGAATAGAAGAGCGTGATCCTCCTAATGGAAGTGATTCTTCAGCTTCTCGTCAAATTGTCATGTTTTGTAGTATTTGCGAAAAAATTAAGATTAAAACCACTCTATGGTCTACAACCGGGTGCACTATGTATAAGGCTGATTATCTTAGGCGTCATGAGGCCTAAGAGGAGCAGTCTATGACATAGTGCGCTCGGTTGTAGCCTATAGTGGCAGTTTAAGCATATATTTTTTGGGATTACGCTATAATATGACAATTTGGTGAACATTGGATGTATGGCTTGCATGAC